TTTAACTTATTTAGTGTGCCCCCAAACCACAACTATAGGTGGGGCACTGGGAGGCACACAATATATATACTTAAACTTCTTTATTATTTAACTACATATGTCGAGGCTACTTCTTGCTCCTTTATCAGGTGAATGCATATTATATCGTTATACATTAAAAGAACTTAACATAATAGCCAACTCCAGATATCACAAGTCGAATACAGTTCAAGGTCTATTGTTGTGAAGGCACGTTTAATCCTTGAAAGGCTACCCGGGTTACGTGTGAATATACATAACAATTGAAAAATACTATACAGATGCTAAGTCCCCGTTAAGAGTCTGGTTATAGAATTGGTTTTCAGCAATCCATGCTTGTCGAAAGAGGCGACTCACGGGATCGTGTGGCTCGCTGAGTTGGTTGATACATGTCATGATTGTCATCGTGTTCCAATTGCGTAGATCGATCCTCATGATATTAATCCCTGGATTTGTCTGATTCAGACTCGTTTAGTTACAGTCCGGCGTCTTATAATATTGAGGAGTGAAGCAAGTCTAGATATTTTACGGGATCAGAATCTGAATCTCCCATCTCAATGGGGCTCCTTTTCCATTTTAATATAGTTGCTTGTTTCTATCAAAATTACTTATTTTCAAAGACAAAGAGTAAGTTTTATGCAGAGGCTTCCAACCTGGGAACATACACTCTGCGATAGAAGCCAACTATCTGTGCGGTAGCGTGGGCCAGGATGTTGTGGTCAGTGACGTCACAGTTCCATTCTATTTATTCTTCATGAACTATACCAGTCAAGTGAGGCGGTATACCACAGCAATTTGGCACACGGCCTTAATTGCAGCAGACAGGAAAAGTAGCATTCTTCATGTGACATCAGCATCCGATTCTATGAATGGAACCCGGCCATATATGGCCGTCCATGTTGGCACCATTGTACTATCCAAGCAGTGCACTTTAACCGACATAAGCACATTGTGCCCCCATTCTTATATCGCCATGCTTAACGTCGTCGTTACAGTCGCAGTATGGGACTCTGCTTTCATTGTTTATACATCACATACATGTTCTCACGTATACTTCACCATGTCACCCAAAAAGTGGAATATAATGCAACATTATGTTTCAAATCGTATCATATCCTATTAAATGTCCAGATCGCCCAGACTGAAATAATTACAGGTTACATAATAAGTATATAATATATGAATGTGAGTGAGTGAGTGAGTGAGTGAGTGAGTATATATGGTTTTACGCCGCTTTTAGCAATATTCCAGCAATATCACGGAGTTTGGCACTGTGTTAGACTGGGGACTTCTGTCCTGCCCAGTCGAATGTGAGGTGCGTGATTCACAGTCTGTGACAATATCTTCCCGCTGCGAGCTTTCCTTTTTGCATGTCTGCGTCCTTTGGATTGGATTTGCATCCCATGGTACTTTTAGTTTGACAAAACTGAAAAAGATAAAGTGAGTGAGTGAGGTTTTACGCCGCTTTTAGCAATATTCCAGCAATATCACGGCGGAGGACACCAGAAATGGGCTTCACACAATGTACCCATGTCGGGAATCGAACCCGGGTCTTCGGCGTGACGAGCGAACGTTTTAACCACTAGGCTACCCGACCGCCCCCTATATATGAATGTAAAACCAGTCATATGCTTTAAATATTCTGGTTTTCATTCAAGATATACCAAGATTGATTGAGTGAGTGAGTATGGTTTAACGCCGCTTTTGGCAATATTCCAGCAATATCACGGCGGGGGGACACCAGAAATGGGCTTCACACATTGTACCCATGTCGGGAATCGAACCCGGGTCTTCGGCGTGACGAGCGAACGCTTTAACCACTAGGCTACCCGACCGCCCTGATATACCAAGAACTAACGACGAGTTAATATTAAAATGTTTGACATGACAAACACAATAAACATTGGTTATAATATAAAAATAAAACCTTCTTTAGCAAACAACAAAATAATTGCTAAATAGTATTATATACTACTCGAGACAAGGTAAGAACACCCACAATTCAAAGGCTGTGTCTTGCAATACCCACCATGACAGAATAACCTGTCGTGAAAAATCTGGTGTTATTTAACTTCTTTTGAGTAGTATATTGCACCATTGCAGGTTACGTTCCAACAACGCCAGCCATTAACTAGTTTGATCGCTGGGTCATAACAACATGCGAAGTACGGGGTCGACCGTCAAACAAGATAATATACCGCATGAGTGTTTGGATAAAGGCCAGCTGGCTCGTCGCCAAGCATCGACTATCAACATTCCTATACGCTCTACAACAACCTGTTTATTTCAGCCATGTTTCGAAGCAGAACACAACCTCTGTCATTGGTGATACAGATTAAGACTAGGGGCTTATCGTACTGCAGACAGCGTACTTTACATAACGTATTAGGTAACTGGGGGTCTTAGCGATCAAGTGTTGGGGTGGGTGTTTTCGGCGGGTAATCCAGACCGATTATTCTCTGGCGGCTTGTATTTACCCACTTCGTGCTCGTGACACCGAACACTCGTTTGACAAGTTTTGGAATATATTATTATATCCAAATCATGTTGTTTTCGTAGTGATAGGTCTGATAAAATATCCGAAAGGTTTATTTTACTTAGTCCCAAGTTTCCACATAGTGTGTTGTCGCCCATCTCATGAAGTATGCTGTGTTATTTAGATCACTGTGGAAATCCTGTTTCAGTGGTGTGGGTGTACAACGATTAATTGTGCTCCCATTCTCGCTGTTCCCTACTTTCCCTTCAGTTTGCCAGGAACAAAAGCTTCATTGGATCATAAAATGCCCAAACATGATTTAGTTCGCAAATAAACTCATCCACACACGTCCCATCTGTTTACTTCCGTGTTTTAAATTACAATACGTATGTCCCATAGTACAGGTTGGCTGGGCATCTCAATGTTAAATTGTCATTGTAACGTAAATATTAAGATTGGTGCAAGTAAAATAGTCCTGAAGTGTCTGTCGAAAAGTTGCAAATATTGTTAAACATGTTCTCATGTCATGTACCATTAACATACATGAAAAAAATAACTCTTTGAACGTATATGCATCATTAATGTTCCTCACTTCGTCAATATGATAAGGATGATGACAATGTTCTATTGTCCTTCATGCTTGGAAGACATAATACGTTTTCCTTCAGTGTGTGGAAGGAATACATGTTATTACTCTCAAAATATCTCTACAAAGAGATATCTCTTCTCACCACATGATGCAGGGTAATTATTACTGTACAGGTACATCCGTTTCTAAGTTTTAATCCTGGTTTTAACCATCTTCCCTGGGAGGCAAGCGTGTGCACCAGTCTGTATCAAAGCTTAAAGGCAGGTGAGTGGTGCTCTTGCCTTGGAAGGGTTTTAACATTAAAAAAATGTATTACAAGTATTCAGTATTGGAGGAAATAAAGACAATCAATAAACTATTCATCTTTTTCAATTCAATGTGTGTGTGTGTGGAGGATGTGTGGTGGTGAAGAGGATCTCACAATTGTCTTAACGAATCCACAAAATACTATCTACCTAACAGGAATATTATAAGAAGTATCTCATGGAATGCAATCTTCATCCTGGTAGTTTTTGACTGATTAATGTAGCAGCATATCAACTCCATGGTGACAATGGCCAGGCTATGACAAACAGGACAGCTTTGTCAAATAGGGCACCAGTAATAAGAGACATTTACTGTGTTTTCTTGTTTCCACAGGTACTTAACATACATCCTATGGTATGAATCACAACAGTAAATAATAAAACCATGGTTGATAGATGTAAAGCATGTGAGGAGCTTCAATCTTGTTTTCTACCAGACTGTACTAGCAATCTTGTGGCCTTCACAAACCCTTATAAAAATTTCAGAAGTTTCAGCAGCCTTACTGTCAAATGCTTACTCAGGGATACACAAATGTGACCATGAGTATAATTATACTAGTTCACAGCTCAATCCAGACTAGTTTATGTAACCTAAATTGATTTAGTGACAGTGAGGGCTTGTTCTTTAACCCTGATAAAGGCAATATTAGAACTATATTACCACAGCACTTGAATAATCAACACTGGATGAGACAACCAGTGGTTGTAGTAACCAAGTCATTACCACATAAAAAGGGCAAAAGTGAGTGTGGCTCACTAATACCCCGACCCGCCTAGTGTGTCAGTAGTTTCAAATAAAATAATGGATAAGGTTAGGGTTTGAAAAATTCATAAAATTATGGAAAATAAAAAAAACATTTTTGTTCTTTTGACTGCACCCCTCCATATGACACAGATTATATGTACTAAGTTTCAGATGAATCCACTGAATAGTTTAAGAGAAATCATGCGGAGTTTTCGGAGGGACGGATGGAACCTTGGTATAACTATATACCCCCGACCTAAAAGGTCAGGTGTATAATAAATACACCTAAACAAGTAAATACAAGATAAACTCACAATCAGTTATTTAGATATCAGTATTTGAAATTAATCTTCAAAACCAAGGGGCATTGTCATAAGCCAAAAGTTAAATTAAAAGTAGGTACCCTCTTAAAAAGTTACGGATGTTGGGTTCCCAGATCCATTTACAGGGCTCTATTAAACAATATAAAACTTGCACCAGTGCAACCAAATTTGTGTCTGACTAAGCCTTATGGTTTCCACACTAACTCGTTTTGTCTGGTGCAACCAAGTTTACAAATTAACATGCACTTGATGCAAGTTAAATCAAGTTCCTTAAATCATGACCTGATATACCATAAGACCAACCAGATTTTGCATACTGAAAAACATTGGAAGTACTGGTCACCACTCTCACATCTGTCAGCCCCAAGGATGAAGTTCGAGGCCTCTTCCGCCCAGCCAACAACTGGCAACAACAAACGCCCGAAACATTGGTTGCGCATTCATCTAATAAACATGGGTCAAAATCAGCCCAATTTCATAATATGGAGTCACTATTTGTCATCACCTCAGATTTACTCCAAGTTGGTCAAGTCAAGAAACTTTATCATTTTGAAAATGTACATTTATTGCACAAATAAAAGCACTAAATCAAAATATACAAAAACAAATTTTTACATGATAAACGTCGATCACAATAGTTGCGATATATTATTAAAATAGTAAAGGAAATGACTTTCAAAATAAATCAACACTTCACAATTTGGGAGTAGGCCCCATTAGGCCAAGGTTCAAGCCTGTTACATGTTCCATCTCTGTTGCCATAACTGTGATGATTATTCTACAAACTCTTTGAAAGATACATTGAAAACACAAAAGTTTGATTTCTTGGGACCCGTTTCAAGTTATTTCTACAGTTAACACCCAAATTATGGGTGAAGTCAAGCTCACTACAGTACCAAACTGCATATTACCCGTTTGCAATCCTTAGGCTAAATGACATGTCAAATTGTGTGTTGACAAGCAGTGTTTGCTGCATTCATAACACTTCAATCCTGTTTTTTGTGTGTGTTTACATTTTTATTAAAGATATGCATTTTCATTTCTGGCATTTCTTTACACAAAACACATCTGGGTTTCCCAGTAGAATACTCCAACACTGCTCACCAAAATACAGTGAGCAGAAAGAGCACCAACAAAACCCTGACAGACCAAAACAGGTCCTACCCCAAGTGAATCATCGCTTTTTCACATGAAAGACATTTCAAGAATACAGTGGATGATTCAGTGATGATATGGTGATGTTCTGTATCGGGACAGATGGAATTTACATTATCTTTAGATTTACTAATACAAAAGGATATATCAATCCATACATGCATTCACACACTGACAATTTTCATCGAAGTTTACAACATTCAAAAATGCTACTTTTCTTACAAAATAAACTTAAAAAGCATATATCAAGAAAGTAACATGATGAACAAGATCTAATTTTACAAACACAATAAAATAGTATTTGAAAAATACATTTTACAAGTTTTCATAAAATAAGATGAAGCCCATAATGAAAATTCATAGCAATCAGGTAGTCAGGACAGGTTACATGTTTCTGGAGAGTTAGGGTAAACAATCCATTGATTATTTGCATATACCTGTACTCTTCTTTAGTTTGGAAACCCTTCCAAAGATAATCGGGAGTAGTATTAATTCAATACACACTCGTGTGTACAGAAGGCCATATAACAAATTCTGTATTTCTACCATTTCATTGATTAGGGGTTGGTTAATCAATGTAATCCAACCGATCTTTTCTCTGGCACGCAAAATAAAAATTGTCATATCCTAGGTTAAAAATAAAAGATATGGATCATTCTTTCACACGGATGAGATTCAACATCCAGATGCACAATGACATGAAAAACGACATTCAAATTTAAAATTAAACAGGGCACAATTGTCATCTTTGACAGAAAACATCCAAAGTATGCCTTACTTACATTCATCAGACTGCTGACGAAAACTATATTTTCATTCTGACTTAAACATATAGACCTTCAGAGTATAAAAATAAAATAATCACGAGTTATAGTACTTCAGATACTTTCTGCAAACATCACCATTCTCACACAAAGGTTCAGCGGCCCTCAAATGTCTTTTTAATTCATTCAAGGTACCATCCAACTTCTCGAAAGTTTATCACTATATACAGAGTTTATCAATGATTTGGCAATTTTTCAGATTGCTTAAAAAACTTGTTTGGTGATCATGTTGAAAATCTTCATCTTGTTGCTACTACAGTAGCAAGGGCACCAAGGCCAACGGCAGTGAATAACAATCCTTTCCACATTTTTTCTTCAAATTCACCCTGGTCTGGAAAATACTCTGCGAATGCTTCCTGTAAACAAAGGGAAGATAATATATAATTCATACATCATATTAGTAATAGAATACTAACTGCTCCACATCAATAATGAGAAAGCCTTGCATAAAAGTCCCGGTATGTGGCTTTGTAGGGTTCGAAAGTCTTACCTCTGAACATGGTGAATATTGTGCTACAAAGTATTTACTTTTGTTTGATGAAGCACAAGAATCTACTTTCACACAAAGTATGTTTGTTGTTTAACACCCCGCTCAGCAATATCCCTACTTATATGACGACAGTTTGTAAATAACTGAGACTGGACCATACAATCCAGTGACTGATATCATGAGCATCGATCTATGCAATTAGGATACAATGACAAGCATCAACCAAGTCAGTGAAACAGCCATTAGTCCCCGCTTACACCTAGCATGGGTTGCCTCTTCTAAACCGGATCTTCACAGGTATTCAAGTGTTGTAGCCTGAATATCATGCCTATGATTGATATATTTTCTATAACGGCCGAAAATGATACCCAGGTTAACAAATATCACATGTGAATGAATACATACCCATCCACCATGATCAAGGATCCATTTCCCGAGTTTGTTTGCAACATATTTTCCAACATACAAAGCAATCTTATCTGGAAAGTCACCATGTCCTTGAACATCACGAAAATGTGCAGCTAATCTCAGAGCAAATGCATACACAGCAACGATCCGGCCCCAGTTTATTTGGCCATCGTCAAAAATTTCATCTGCAATATTGACAAAAGTCCTGAATGCATTTCCTTCTTCAACCTTCAACTTGTTTACCATCCCTTTGAATACAATGTTGTGTCTGTCTGACAACTCTTTCACTGTTCTCCTCATGGTCCGGCAGTATTTATTGGGAGGCTTCCTGTTATCTCCGGTTATGAAATTTGAAATCACATCTGAAGCTATTACTTCGGCACCTCGCCTCACTTCATCAATTGGTGAGTTTCCACTGCCTGTTTGTGCCGATTCATCAGCTAACGCAGCAAAGTCGTTCAATCCTTTGGAGCCAGGAAGGAGTCCCATCTGCTTCGTTATTTCGGCAAACAAGTTTCCCTTAGTATACATCTTCGAATTCAAGTTTGACTTGCTGTTCGCAAGCTTCGTTTGTTCTAATGTGGAATCAGCCATTTCACGGCTTATAAAACTCTCCCGGCTCCAACAAAGTCTGAATCTCGTCTATTCCGGTCGCCTCAAAATGGCGAGAGACGGTGAAGGGAAACAGTGACGTCACTAGACAACACGTCATGTCATCGCGATGTGATTGGTTGGTGATCTGCCAATCATTTGTCAGGCTGAAACTAAGAAGATATTATTTTCCAAACAACTGTTTCAAAAACTTCGAGAAATTTCCGAACATTATTTGAATACAAAAACATTTCTTGGTGTAGGAATTATTCCGAAAACAAAAACTCTTTGTAACACAAGTAGCAGTCAAGCTATAACTTTAGATGTAAAAAGACTTTGACATGTATTTTTTCAGTTAAAGTCGTTAATAATTTACACACACACACACACACACACACACACACACACACACAAACACGTGCGGATTTCTTCTTACAGCAAGTATAGCCCTGCATTCTGTTATAAATAACTGTTATAAATAAGTAATCGGTATGCAAATAGATGATGGCTTAATTATAATGCAACAAGTTGCATGCAGTTATTCTTTAAATAACGGTAAGAAAGAAGTTTATGCAAGTAAACTTTGGTGAAGTTTAAACCAGCAGATCAAACTCAACAATGGAATGTACCAGACTTGTTTCTTGAAAAAACGTCATTTCTGTAGAAAAGTTCACAGTCCCCCTAACCATGCCTCTAGTAGGTTTTTAAGACTGTAGTAGTGTAATGTCTGTCCAAGTAAGTAAATGTGTCTTACTGTTCACCCTGGCGGGTGTACATGAGGAATCAACTGATATTGCAATTGCAAGACACGTTCTAATGTATTATCTTAATATTCAGGAAAGAAATATGATGTTAGGACCAAGATGTCCCAGACATTCCCGTCCCTGGTAATATATGCTGACTGTTTTATGTAACACAAGGTTTCAGTGGAACAATCTGAGTATACCTCCACAACTAAAGGTTATGTTTATGCTTAGCGTGAATAACCTTGACCTTGTACATAAATAACGAACTGTATAATTAATGATTGAAATGTCTATCTGTATCTTCAAGTTGGAGGGGGAAGACAATCTGCCTGTCTCAGAATCTGTATGTAAATAGGGAGAGAGAGCTTCCCGAACAGATCCATCTAATTAGGCCTGCCCTATTCCAGCTATGGTATTGTCTGAATTACCAATAATCCCTTCCTCCAGTATCTAATGACGGTCTGACAGGCGGGTGGTAACCTAAACCAACATATATTTTGAGACCATTAGTGTTTGCTTGACATGTCAACCTGCCGCTGTTTAAAACTATTATAGTGGTGTAAAGGTCTCCGTATTGTTTATTATTGATAGACAAACCAATTAATTACAGGAGTCACAGCAGACACTATACCAAAGGGACTTTAAATTTGCTTTTCTGACAACCTTTATTTGTTAATAAACTAATTCTTAATTTTTGTTGAATCCTCCAATGTGACTATAGCTAAGGGTATCACAATATGCACGTGTAAACATTTGCACATCTAGTGCACACTTTGTATACGTTTTTTTAATGTATGCTTACCAATGATGCACAAAGTCTTTAATGCATCGTGGTAATGAGAAATCCCAGTAAAGGGTAGCCTTGTGCCAAATCCGTTTGTTTATTGGCAGTACAATAGGTTTAAATCAGCCTAACATTTGTATCTGACGGAATGATTATTTAAAAAAAATAATTTTCATTTAATACATGTTGACAAACTGACAGTAATAATAGCCTTGAAGTTTCATTACATTGTGGTTATAATGCATTACAAATAACAAACATAAATTGGATCCTCTTTTGAAAACGTGGACTTCAAGCTTCGTACGAGGGACGCTTCCTTGTTTGATATAATATTAGTTGTGTGGAATAAACTATTCTATTTATAGGTTGTGAGGTTATTCCGAAACCTACGTCAAGGGATTTCGCCTGAGGAAACAAGTACTGTGCACTGTTTGGACTTTTCGTCAATGGCTCAAGTTCTGGTTGGCTGTAAGTGTGTCTTTGAATTTGGGAAGTTGAATAACTTAAAATAAAGTATCGATGTTTCGAATCTAAATCTACTGATAATCCGTTTATGATCAATAATTAATTCATTTGAATGAAGGAGGAAGAACACAAAGTTTGGATTTCCTCGGAAGTTTTCTAAATAATTTCCTGTAGCCCAGGTGAGTTACACCGCAAGTTTAATCAGCTGGTAGTCTCAAACATATATTCTGTCACGATATCCGATAATAAGAAATAGAAATTCCACAAAGATGATAGATCGTTAAAACAACGTCGTCTTGTCATATTTATTTAGCCCGTTTTCTATTTTGTTTTGGTTGCTATCGTGTCAAGAAATGTTGAAATTTGGCCTATCAACATATGTTAAACTATCCAAAAGCTGTGGTTACTTAATTTCTGCCAACATTTTACATGATAATATTATCTAATGGCGATAAGTATTGTTAAAAACATTTTCAGTTTCTACGATAACTCCAACATGTCCATTGTCATGTTTAATAAATGTTAAATTAGAACTTGGTAGATCTACCTGAGTATCAACATACTTTTTAAACTTATGTGTCACATACAAATTCTCAACATGATCATTATTGTCTTGATCTTTTTCGGGGCTGTCGGGTAGCCTAGTGGTTAAAGAGTTCGCTCGTCACGCCGAAGACCCGGGTTCGATTCCCGACATGGGTACAATGTGTGAAGTCCATTTCTGGTGTCCTCCGCCGTGATATTGCTGGAATATTGCTAAAAGCGGTGTAAAACCTCACTCACTCACTTTATCTTTTTCAGTTTTGTCAAACTAAAAGTACCATGGGATGCAAATCCAATCCAAAGGACGCAGACATGCAAAAGGAGAGCTCGCAGCGGGAAGATATTGTCACAGACTGTGAATCACGCACCTCACATTCGACTGGGCAGGATAGAAGTCCCCAGTCTAACACAGTGCCAAACTCCAACATATCAAGTGGCCCACAGAACACACTTGCAGTGCCAACAACCCCGGTTAGACCAGCACACCAACATATGCACCACAGCTCAACTGACCCCCATCTGCATGGTTCTCGACCCCATAGTGCACACCTCCATCATCGACTGATGGGACGGATTCTACGAGGAATGGGCGATAGCTATTGTTACAGTTGTGGTATAGCACTGCGACAGATGGGTGACGAACTATCAGGGGAGTATGAAGTTCGGAGGGCATTAAGTACAGGAGATTTGCCCAATTCCATAAAAAATTCCTGACAATCATATGTGCCTGTGTTTTATTGAGTGATCATACTTCATCATTCCTGGTATCTGGCTCCCCATCCGAACAATGAAGACGTGATACCAACCTCGACCTGATTTACAGGATCCCAGATGCCAAATTAAAAAATGTACATTGATTTAATGAATTGAGAGTCTCCCAAAAATTATATTTATGTCAAGTTTTAATTTATCAAAATGGCCAAATGATGCTGATGGCATTTCATAATCAACACTTATCTAATGAAGATGTCAGACTACTGAGTCAAACGGATGTTACTGTCAGTCTGTGTGTTGCAAGTAATTTATCGTCATGAATATTGCACAGTATTGCTATTTTGCCTTTTATTTTTTTTATTGGTTATGTTTGTAGACATATATATATGAAATGGGCACTTGACTGTCCCCAAAACAATGCTCATCATTGGAAATAGCTTGTACCATGTATACAGAAAATGTACAAAGTAGTGTTCATATTACCATTGAATATGCTTGAAGCAAAGTAAATAATGGGTTTAATATTTATCATGAATTGTTTGGATTGGATGAAGTTGATATTTACCTTTAGCCAAAAGTTTTTTGTTTGTCGTTAACTTTACTGAATTATGAGCATACATACTTTTGTCTTTTATCATGAAAGTTTTATGCATTGACATTCACTATGAGAATATAAAATGATTGGAAGATAACTGTATTCTTATCGGAAATCTTAATCCACATTTTCCTATATTTAGGTGAAATGAAAATTTGTATTTATGTAAGGTTGTCTTCTGGTCTGTATTAATTATGATTAAAAATATTTTATTTTTCTAACCAAGGTGTTTTAAGAAATCTAGTTTTTATATTTTATGGTTTGGTTGGAAGATAGTCAGATTGCTCTACCTATGCCTGCACCTGGTGCATACTTTACAGGAAATATTAAGCTTAAAAATAATAGAAATTTCTTTGCCACTTACAAACCAGCAAACCTGCTTTAACAACAGTTAGGAAGAGGCTCTTTGTAAACTCCCCTTCAAGGTGTTCAGTGATAGTATCTGTTTCTGGAAACTCACAATACATGTAGTAACAAGCCTTGTCCAAGTGATGATGGTCGCTATTGTTACAGCTGTGGTAAAATAACAGTGATATAAAACATAATATGAGCTTCAATCCACCATGTCAAATATCTTCAGTTTTACCTCTGGTCTAATGATAAAGTCATGCTTCCTGTTTACAACTGAATTGTTATGAATATGTCCACACAGATTTAGCATGTTTCAGGAGTAAACATTGTATTTTTGTTTAGAAAAGTGGCACACTATCTCATAGTACTACCAATACTATACTAGAAGTACTAAAGCAGAGAGAAATATAACTGAGTACCACAAGGTTGTTTATTTATGATCATGAAGTCATACTTTTGTTTATTTCTTGAAGGGTAAAACACACTGAAAAAATCCCCTCCATGATAACTGACCCATTAGTGCTGCCACATCACAGAGACACTTGTTCAAAGTATTCCAGAAAGTATTTCCCCAAACCTTCCAGTATTTTGTCTTGTGCATCTCACAAATATGGATGCCTGTTGGCCGTCGTATCATGGTGTTTGTAGGTACCGTATTCACCATAATAAGCACACTGAGTACTTAGATTAGTGACAAAGCGAGGCATTTGTCATTTAATGATTTATTATATTTCTTGTCAGAGGTTGAGTGGTAGTGATCAAGCTTAGTTCAAAAGTTGTTAAAACTAAATGAAGTTAAAACCTTTTCGATAATAAATACCAGGCAAATATATACCCCTCTTTGCTGTTTTCTGTAAAAAATATGGACTGTTAAATTATTCAGGGTGACAACAAAGATGACTGGTTGGTCAGGGGTAGCTTATTGAAGTAGGGTTTTTAAGACGGCAAAGTGTATTTTGTTGTATTTTGGGGGGGCCAATCTTCTTTCATTGTTTGTCATCACCACTCAACCAATGTTTATTTCAAATCAAAAATAATTTATTTTATTCTCACCTATCATGTCCATTCCAAATTAGAACTGTTCGGACCTTTTAACAACTGCTGTGAAACAAGGAACAATTAGAAATGTCAGAGTTATGTCCCCTGATATGACAGAGTCAGTCTCTTAAGACAAGTAAAGGTTACATATGAAGAGAAATGGAAAGGTTCTCAGTCCCAAATGTTTTATAAGAAGTGTTATCTAAAGGGTCTTTCAACATTATCACTGGGACTAGGTATAGGGAGTTATAAATGAAAGGTATATGTAATGAAAGGTTCATGTAAAGAACATACATCAACCCAAATATTATTAATGGTTGTTAGTAAATTAGCACATTGAGTATTTTTTTACATTTTTATTGTTTTTGTGACCTGATAATTGCTCATGGTCACTGAAAGTGGCACCATTGTGCTGCTGTACAATGCAGGTCTTCCAGCTGTCAGGTCCATCAGATACTGTGATGTATAATAATCTGGAGTGTATACACTGTAGCCATTAGGACTACATGAAGTTCAACAAACTCCACCAGGCTCCTGGCATACCTGTACGTATGACCACTAGCCTGAACTAAAGACTAGTAAATATCTGCTGGGCTAGTGAACATAGCTAAATATCCGTTTGTTGAACAGTTTGATAGTTATGTCCACAGCATTAGACAGTGTGTGACAGTAAACTGTGATAATGAACATATTCCTTTTATGAAAATATCCTGGCATTAGCGGAATGGCAAAACTGATTGGCTTGCTTCTTGCACTTTATTTCTATTGTGCTTGTACTTGGAACCACAGGGTAGTCCAATCTGTTTGACCCAGGAGACTTATGTGAAGATTAGATTCAGTGATTTATGAAAGGATTTAAATTTTGAAACAGAGATCTTTATTTGCATGTTTCTAAATACTTTCATATGCTATAAAATCAAAATTATGATAATCCAGGTTAGAATAGTTACATTGAAAAGTGGAGTGATTCTGTCAAATGAAACAGCATTCAAAATGGAAAGTCAGGAGTATTTGCTATGATGCGCCTCTTACACTTTGTCAACTGATTAAATATTTTTCAATGTGCATTGGCGGTGACCCAAATTGTAGAGGTGATGTTTTCTGAAAATATACCTTATAGATAACTGATAAGATGAATCTTGAGATTGACTGCACTTTGAGACTGGTAGAAGGTAAAAGTATTACTCCTTCAGTGATGAATCAGCAATTCAATGGGTAGAATTGTTAAAAAGGGTGTGTATAATTGGTCTTGGTTGTATAGTTACTGATAATGTAACATGTTGCCAAAAATAATTGGTCAAGAATTGGACATATTGTGTTCTGACTTAGATTTAGGATCAGATATGGTTTATGTAACCATGGTTACTGCTAGAAGAGTATTTTAAGTGATGCCTTTGATCACAGGAATAAAGTGACATGGAAATGTCCAGATGATCAAATTCCAGATTTATAATCATGGTTTAGAGGTCATGACCCTTTTAATTATATTTGTCTTTCCCAAATCTTGCTCCAGAAGGAGGGGTTTCTGGACTTAAGGGGGTTTGGAGTAACACGATTTCACCGTTGTCACTTTTGCAAAATGGCAACATTATTACTTAAGAAACTTAATAACACATGTTGTTTTCCAATAAAAGATTGGTGAATGAGTGACAATGAAGTTAATGACTATGTCAGTGACTTGTGACTTGTACATCATGAACAGTCTTTACCTATGTGTTTACTGATTTGTTTCTCCTGTTTTGTTGAAGTGTTTAGACATGCTTCCTGAAAACTGATAAATATTTTCGGTACATGGAAGTCGTTACCATGGTTACAAATGGCTTCTTTGATGCTGCAGTGTTTTAAGTACATAGATACCAGCTTTAGGGTGTTTCTTTCATTGTGTTTCTGTTATTGAAACAAGTATGTCTGGAGTGATGAAATGATTCCTCTTGTAAATAAAGTTTCATGTCATCCACGTTTCATTTATTGTTTTGTTGTCATGTCTTCACTGACCAAGCAGTTGTGTAGTGAGTGAGTGAGTTGGGTTTAACGCCGCTTTTAACAGTATTCCAGTTATATCACGGCGTATCAGCTTAATGTGGGAGGAAAGCCTGAAGTGATGCAGGTCTCTGACGTTTACCACTTCGGTGAAACCCACGAGCACGGGTATGGTGCTGACAAACCTAGAAACATAATCGGGGCAAACCGGGATTCGAACCCACAATCATAGGTTTCTGGCGTGCCCAAGGGACGCAACTGCACAGCGAATTGCGGCGCCTTAGACGACTGGGCCACCTGTGCCGCCAAGCAGTTGTGTAGCACAAAAAGAAAGTAATTACACTTCTAAATGTTTACAAAAATAAAATACATTTTAAAAAAAATGTACTTTAGGGTGTTCTTCTTTTCATCATTAAGATGATGCCAATGTCACCTCTGCATTATATGTTGGGATATAGTCATCATCTGGTCCGTCCGTCCATATTTTGTTTTCTGAGCATAAATTGAAAACCGTGAAAGATTTTTCATCCAAACTTGGTACATGTATTAACCAGGGACTTACGTGGTGCCTTTTCCTATTTAGGAATTTTTGTGTTGTTTCCAGAGCAGAACTAAACAAGAGTCATCAGAGGATGACAAATCCCCCCAGCTTCCAGAAATTCCAAAGAACAAATCATCTGACTGTTACTTGCAGTTCAACTTGATGAGAGAATTTCTATCTAATCTTCTAGTTATTGAGCTATCAAGACAATAGCATGGAATTGTTATTTGGAACTTTGTATTTCTATTTCAGGTACACACCACTATGAACAGAGTCACAATCAAACTTGTTGCCATGGAAACAGAAAAAGTAAAATTGTTAAAAATCCCTTAATCGCAAAAGGCACCTGTTGAAAACCTGGTCTTTGTGTGTGCGAATTGTCATGAATGAGTACTAGTACCTATTAGTTTTAGATATGGTCCGAACAAACACCACTAAGAACAGAGTCAAAGTCAAACTTGTTGCCGTGGAAACAGGTAATTTTTTTTTTAAATTGCTAAATATCAAAAGGCACAACTTGAGCCCCTGATTAATACAAGCACCAAATTTTGGTGAAAATAAATGTTGAACATTTATTTAGTTCTGCTCCGGAAACAAGACCTACCTCCGTTTCAGCTTAGTCTAACTTGTTTCCATGGAAACGGTAAAAATCAAATTTAAAAAAATTCCTAAAGAGCAAAAGGCACCACCTAAGCTCCTGGTTTATACATCCATGTCAAAACCAAGGATGATATAAAAGAGTATTCCTGGGATTTGAGTCGGATTTAACACTGAAGAGTACCGGGTAGTTCTGTTAGATTACGATGTGCCAGATGATGTGGGAGCAAAGTCGGAAATGATGCGAATGTAGTTGTTTGTAACTTTGATTAAACCAGGATTATAATCAGGCCAACTCTGGGAGTCGATCCCCGGAGTATTGGATCCTGGCCCACCTAACATGCCCCTGCCCCACACAAATCTGCAGCGTGAATTGCAGCGCGGTAAGGTGACTTCGCCATCCATGCCAGACAGAGTGATGGAAACATGGGCCAAGGGAGACAACCATGCCAGAATGAGGAGTTGCTTTGCAGTGAGTTAAGTTACACACAACCTTCAACACTAACTCAGTTATTACCATCCATGCGAGCATAGTCAGCATGTTTTATACTGTTGTCAGCAACATGACACCTCCGTAATGAGGGCAGTCGGAATTCAAGCAATAGTTGGCAATATCATACCTCCGTAATGAGGGCAGTCAGAATTCGAGCAATAGTTGGCAATATCACACCTCCGTCATGAGGGCAGTCGGAATTCGAGCAATAGTTGGCAATATCACACTTCCGTAATGAGGGCAGTCAGAATTCGAGCAGTAGTTGGCAACATCACCCCCCACGTGATGAGGGCAGTCGGAATTCGAGCAAAAGTTGGCAATATCACACCTCCATCATGAGGGCAGTCAGAATTCGAGCAATAGTTGGCAACATCACACCTCCATCATGAGGGCAGTTGGAATTCGAGCAATAGTTGGCAATATCACACCTCAGTCTTGAGGGCAGTCAGAATTCGAGCAATAGTTGGCAACATCACACCTCCGTCATGAGGGCAGTCAGAATTCGAGCAATAGTTGGCAACATCACACCTCAGTCATGAGGGCAGTCGGAATTCGAGCAATAGTTGGCAATATCACACCTCCGTCATTAGGGCAGTCGGAATTCGAGCAATAGTTGGCAATAACACACCTCAGTCATGAGGGCAGTCGGAATTCGAGCAATAGTTGGCAATATCACACCTCCGTCATGAGGGCAGTCGGAATTCGAGCAATAGTTGGCAACATGACACCTCCGTAATGAGGGCAGTCGGAATTCGAGCAATAGTTGGCAACATCACACCTCAGTCATGAGGGCAGTCAGAATTCGAGCAATAGTTGGCAACATCACACCTCAGTCATGAGGGCAGTCGGAATTCGAGCAATAGTTGGCAATATCACACCTCCGTCATTAGGGCAGTCGGAATTCGAGCAATAGTTGGCAACATCACATCTCAGTCATGAGGGCAGTCGGAATTCGAGCAATAGTTGGCAATATCACCCCCCACGTGATTAGGGCAGTCGGAATTCGAGCAAAAGTTGGCGATATCACACCTCCATCATGAGGGCAGTCGGAATTCGAGCAATAGTTGGCAACATCACACCTCAGTCATGAGGGCAGTCGGAATTCGAACTTCCTCCTGATGTACCAGAGGTTGACATTGTTGGCGTCACTCAGGTTACCACTGGGTCATCCTTGTGCACCAATTTATCAAACACTTATGAAACTCTGCAGGAACAATCTAGTCTCTCGGTGTCTGTTCTGTATTAAATACAGAGGAAAGTTTGTTCTTGGATTGTTTTGTGGTCAAGTTGTGAATTGACTGTTTGTTGTTTAACGCCACACTCACACTCAGAAACATTCCAGCTGTAGGACCACAGCTGATAAATAATTGAGTCTGGGCCAGACAATCCAGTGATTAATATTATGAGTATTGATCTACATAATTGGAATATGATGACATACATCAACCAAGTCAGCAAGTCTGACCCGATCCTGTTAGTTGCCTTTTACGACAAGCATGGATTGCTGAAGATCAATTCTAAATCGTATCTTCATGGGTAGAGAATTGACTGAGAATCCCCTTACATTCACAGCCATCCGTTAAACCGAGGTGTGTGTTCATACCTAACCCTGGGAGATAACACACGGAGACATGAGTTGTAAAAGCCAAAACTGCCATTTTCAATATGGCTGCCATTCTGTGAGCACATTTAGGGGACACTTTTGCAGGCATCACAAGCACAACATTCACCTCCCTGAAGCCAGTGATTTCCGGAGAGGGAGGGTGAGTCTTGTCCTGTGGGAACTTTTGAAGGGAGTGGCAGAACGTTATCAGACAACTTGTTAAAACCAATTTCATGAGAAAACACAAAAGATATGTAAAATTATTTATTTACCATGTTTGATGCAATATAAGGATCTTATGTATCTTGTACTGTAATCTTGTAAATATAAACAAACATCACAGGCATCAAAACATCTTCGTGATATGACATCTCTTAGTTGAACAGGGAACATATACCCTCGAGTAAATGGCAAGTCAGTGATGTTATGGTCACATGAAGCTGCCTGTGGAGATCAGGCCTGGACCAGACAAACCAGTGGTTGATAGCGTGAGCAGCACTCCACACACACACTTGCTTTTTTAACCTACTTATTTTGCAGGCTTCTTGTTTGATAGATGAAACTATTAATAGCATCTTGTGTGTGAGCAGCACCGAAAACACAAGCCTGTGTTGGAAATAGTGTTCCTCTCCACCAGCTAGCACTACCATGTCTTCATGGCCATTGTAGAGTTAATCGTCAGTGCTGAAGTTGGTCTGTAGCGGCATGATGGTGGTGGAGACATCTTTGGCTGAAGGGTTCTGGAGTGCGTTGGCTGCGTGAGACAGCTGCATGGCGGCGCTGGGGTGCGCTGTCCCCGGCAACATGGTGCACTCCCGCTCCAACATGCTGGCCATCGCCTCCATGAGCTCCAGGAATCCGAATGCCAAGGCTGCCCGACGTATCCGGTTCAGCTCCTAGTAAATAATAAGGAACCGGTCATATATTACTTGGGATGGGTGGGTCAGAGGTTTTTGATGTAGTGAAAATTCATGACCCTACCTGAAAAGACAAATACAGAATCACTTTATATTTTAACATAAAATGTCAATTTTGACAATGTTTATGATTTTCCACTTATTCCTCTCCTCGCGCCCTCCTTAGTAGTATCAACGTTCGTGATCGAAAATCAGACAACTACACGATAGATAAGGATTCAAACACGTAGTAAAAAATATTAAATAAATATTCATATTGTAATGTTACATTGTTGGCGGAATATGTTTTCTAATCATACAACCTCTAAAGTTTAACAGAAAACAACTGTTACGGACTGTATGACCGATTCAAAATACTTATTATACCGATTAGACCGATTAAAAAGCATAGTCTGGAATGGAAGTCGCAACTTTGAAACTGGTACCCAAAGCTTAAGAAAGCTGCTTTCTAAGTGGCTAACGTCGTCTTCCTGTTGGTCATTTCATTGGTAGGTCATAGTTCGCGAAAGGTTGTTCTGACGTGACCTGTAATGGGATGTCCTCATCGATAGCGAGAACTTGTATCTGATTTTAATAAGATTGAGGTAATCTAAGCATGTCAATTATCCTGTTTTCTTTATTTAAAGCATTAATTGTTAACTTAATTGTACTTAACACAGGCTGTGTAAATGTTTACTCCATTGAAGCGAGATATAGACAATGATTTTGATGGAATCAGTCGCACAGCCTAGAACTGTAGTTTGGAAAGCCTCCTGTTGACATTTTCAAGGTTGCATGATTAGGAAACATATTCGCACCTTCACTTCAACGATCTCGTAAGAGACGCTCTGATTGTCGGATAAAAGGTTGTTCTCATATGAGCTGTAATGGGATGTCTTCATATCAATGTGAAGCAGTAGCAAATATTAAGATCTGACTTTAATGAGATTTGTATAAAGCAACCTTATAAAACTGCTGCTGTTTTTCTGGTAGTTTCCGAGCATGTCGCAGAACTTTCTGTAGATCAGCCTGCAACATAGTAATCCAACAATATATATGGAGACCGGTAGTTCAAATACATCATACATATCTATAAAATACTTAAATATATGAGCTTGAGCCATGAATTTGGAATTCAGATTGGTCCAAAAGAGGTATCAAATGACAATAACTACCTCTGATTGAAACGGCTGGTTTGCCAGCCACATTGCCACAGAAGCTAATATTTATAGAAAAGTATTTCTGTCTCAATCTGTCTCAATCATTGTCGGTAGGCATTTTGTTGGGCAGCAACATTCACGAGAAACTGACTAAAAGCACATTTCAAGATTTCATGACAGCAGACTGTGACATCATATCTTTAACGTCACAATGAGCAGTGGGACATCATAAGTGATATCATCTGTACAAGTAAACCTTGCAACGCTTGCATGTTTTACCTTTTTCCCCATTTCATGTTGGTTCACGACGCAGAGCTGTGCTGCACACTTTCAATGTCTGGCATTTATTTTCTTGGGAATCAGAAAAGCATGGAATTTGTCACATGATTTTTGGGCATGTTTTCACCAACACCAAAGTACAAATATTGTATTTTCAATGTAGAATTGGATTACCTGTATATTTAATAGAACTAAATTCAATTCAGTATGATTAAGTCTACCTAAAAATCGCTTTACATTGAAAACACAAATGTTTATCTACTAATACAGATCCTTTCTGCCTTTCCTTTCTTCTCTTTCAATTAAGACTGCTCTCACTGCATACATAGCACGCATGAGAAGTCAAATACATTGGTTTCAAACCCATCCAGGAATGTCAACGAAGGGAGACAACTCAACTGTAGTGCCAGTTGCCTCCCTTTCCCCTTGCCGTTTCAAGCTCAATCCAAATGTATGATACCTCAATGCACAAAATGCGTATTTACTTTCAAACCAAAACATCAGTTATATTTCTGGTTTTGAGCTTGTGACTTATGAGAAAAAGCATGAAAAACGACCTAGATTATACAGGTACGACGACAAACAATCATCACAATCAGTCACAAACCCTGACCACCCTGTCCCCATGCCAGCTGGTTTAACGACCAACATGCGGTGCAGGGTACGTACTGGTATGCAACCCTGGAATGCCCCATGGGGGACCACACTTTTCAACCCTTGAATTCCCCATAGGGGACCACACACTTCAACCCTTGAATTCCCCATAGGGGACCACACACTTCAACCCTTGAATCCCCCATAGGGGACCACACACTTCAATCCTGGAATCCCCCATAGGGGACCACATAGTTCAATACGGGGACCACACACTTCAATCCTGGAATCCCCCATAGGGGACCACACACTTAAATCCTGGAATCCCCCATAGGGGACCACACACTTCAATCCTGGAATCCCCCATAGGGGACCACATAGTTCAATCCTGGAATCCCCCGTAGGGGACCACACACTTACCCTTGAATCCCCCATAGGGGACCACACACTTCAATCCTGGAATCCCCCATAGGGGACCACAGAGTTCAATCCTGGAATCCCCCATAGGGGACCACACACTTCAATCCCCCATAGGGGACCACACACTTCAATCCCCCATAGGGGACCACACTTTTCAATCCTGGAATCCCCCGTAGGGGACCACACACTTCAATCCTGGAATCCCCCATAGGGGACCACACACTTCAATCCCCCCATAGGGGACCACACACTTCAATCCCCCATAGGGGACCACACACTTCAATCCCCCCATAGGGGACCACACACTTCAATCCCCCATAGGGGACCACACACTTCAATCCCCCATAGGGGACCACACTCTTCAATCCTGGAATCCCCCATAGGGGACCATACACTTCAATCCCCCATAGGGGACCACACACTTCAATCCTGGAATCCCCCATAGGGGACCACATAGTTCAATCCTGGAATCCCCCATAGGGGACCATACACTTCAATCCCCCATAGGGGACCATACACTTCAATCCCCCATAGGGGACCACACACTTCAATCCCCCATAGGGGACCACACTCTTCAATCCTGGAATCCCCCATAGGGGACCATACACTTCAATCCCCCATAGGGGACCATACACTTCAATCCCCCATAGGGGACCACACACTTCAATCCCCCATAGGGGACCACACACTTCAATCCTGGAATCCCCCATAGGGGACCACACACTTCAACCCTGGAATCCCCAGTAGGCGACCACACACTTCAACCCTGGAAACCCCAATGGGGGACCACACACTTCAATCCCGGAATCCCCAGGGGGCGACCACACACTTCAACCCTGGAATGCCCCATAGGGGAACACACACTTCAACCCTTGAATCCCCCATAGGGGACCCAACACTTCAATCCTGGAATCCCCCATAGGGGACAACATAGTTCAATCCTGGAATCCCCCATAGGGACAACATAGTTCAATCCTGGAATCCCCCGTAGGGGACCACACACTTCAATCCTGGAATCCCCCATAGGGGACCACACACTTCAATCCCCCATAGGGGACCACACACTTCAATCCCCCATAGGGGACCACACACTTCAATCCTGGAATCCCCCATAGGGGACCACACACTTCAACCCTGGAATCCCCAGTAGGCGACCACACACTTCAACCCTGGAAACCCCAATGGGGGACCACACACGTCAATCCCGGAATCCCCAGTGGGCGACCACACACTTCAACCCTGGAATCCCCCATAGGGAAACACACACTTCAATCCTGGAATCCCCAATGGGGGAACACACACTTCAACCCTGGAATCCCCATGGGGGACCACACACTTCAATCCTGGAATCCCCAATGGGGGAACACACACTTCAATCCTGGAATCCCCAATGGGGGACCACACACTTCAATCCCGGAATCCCCAGTGGGCAACCACACACTTCAACCCTGGAATCCCCCATAGGGGAACACACACCTTAATCTTGGAATCCCCAATAGGGACCACACACTTCAATCCTGGAATTCCCCATAGGGGACCACACGCTTCAACCCTGGAATCCCCCATAGGGGACCACACACTTCAATCCTGGAATCCCCAATGGGGGAACACACACTTCAACCCTGGAATCCCCAATGGGGACCACACACTTCAACCCTGGCATCTCCCATAGGGGAACACACACTTCAACCCTGGAATCCCCAATGGGGACCACACACTTCAACCCTGGAATCCCAAATGGGGACCACACACTTCAACCCTGGCATCTCCCATAGGGGACCACACACTTCAACCCACTTCAACACCTCGACTGTGTGTGACATTGCTCATTATATCAACCACTGGTTGTCCAAACCAGATTACTTACATGCTGCTGTAATAATTCATTGGTGCAAAACAAAATACAAAGACAACATAATACCTGTAGCCCTGATGGCTTGATCCACACAACACAGCTCTGGGCATAGCTTCTCTTGTCTCCGGGTCGAACAGGGAAGGGAGTCTTACTGTCATCTTCCCCATACGGTGACTCCGAGAACTCGGACACATGGGCAAGATTGTCCAGCTTCCCCAGCCAGCTCATAGTGTCCATACCTAACAAAAAACAATGGTCACATCTAGATTGTATAGGGTTTTGTATAAATAGACCGTTGAAACTTAACCTCATGCAATATCTTTGGATAAATTGGAGCAAGTCTGCAGCTTCTTTAGTGTTCTACTTTATGTTCAATGTTTTCATCTCATATCTTGCGGATGTCGGTTGATCGATTTCAAGAGTATAAAACCTCTTTTGAGATAGGTTTTCCAAAACTCTAGATGATTTAACTGACCAACTAAAAGAAAGAAGATTATTTGTGTAAATCCCATTTTGCTGCGCACACAATGATTTGTTTGTTTGTTTGTTTAATGCCGCACTCAGCAATATTCGGGCTATTAGAAAACGGTCTCTAAATAATCAAGTCTGGAACAAACAAACCAGTGATTGACAACATGAGCATCGATTCACGCAATTGGGACACAATGACATGCAACAACAAAGTCAGCGAGCCTGACCGCCCAATGCCATTAGTCGCCTCTTTAGACAAGCATAGTCGCCTTTTTCGACAAGCATGGCTTGCTGAAGACTAACTCTAACCCGGAATCTTCACGGGTCAACACATATGATGTACCATGCAAATTCAAACTTAAGTTGAGATGCTCCTGTCAACAAATGAAAACTACATTTTGGTTTTCAGACCATGAATCACTGCTGCATCATTTCATGTGACGATTGGTTGTTTGGTTGGTGTGTTGTTTAACGCCGCACACAGCAATATTCCAGCTATATGGTGGCGGTCTGTAAATAATCGAGTCTCGACGAGACAATCCAGTGATTAATTTCATGAGAATCGATCCACGCAATTGGGATCGATGACATGCATCAACCAAGTCAGCAAGCCTGACCACCTGATCCCAATAGTCGCCTCTTACGACAAGGATAGTCACCTTTTACAGCAAGCATGGGTTGCTGAAGACCTATTCTACCCCGGAATCTTCACGGGTCTCATGTGACAACAGGTTGACTGTAGTATGTCACCATTACACACTCCAATACATGACGGTCATGTGACCACAACACATAATCAATGCAGACATAAATTGCCATAATACTTTATTGACTTAGGCTGTGCTTAAAAAGCAAGAATTAATTTGTTTGGGTCCATTTATTTTAAGTGTAAATTTCATAATTCTACATCTTGACATAGTTTCTCTGATATGTCTCAGTGCAGTCATTGAAGAGCTCTTATGACATAGTGTCGTGTGGGATGTTTTACTCCAGTTCAGCAGTGTCCCAGGAGTGTTACTACAAATGACACTTACATGGCTGTGTCAGGGATCTCAGGTGTCAACAGATGTTACGATAAAATCAAAACCTTACAAATATTACCTGGATAAAAAAAAGCCAACATGAGGTTTGATTTCTTCTTACTGTCAGCCCATGAATACATGATCCCATACCAGTCAGGCCTGAAACAGTGATATGTAGCATGTGTCTCAAACATCTTAAAACCAATGTGATCTCTCACAGCAAAGACACCCATACCAGTCAGGCCTGAAACAGTGATATGTAGCATGTGTCTCAAACATCTTAAAACCAATGTGATCTCTCACAGCAAAGACACCCATACCAGTCAGGCCTGAAACAGTGATATGTAGCATGTGTCTCACAGCCGGAAACATCTCAAAACCAATGTGATCTCTCACAGCAAAGACACCCATACCAGTCAGGCCTGAAACAGTGATATGTAGCATGTGTCTCACAGCCGGAAACATCTCAAACCCAATGTGATCTCTCACAGCAATGACACCCATACAAGTCAGGCCTGAAACAGTGATATGTAGCATGTGTCTCACAGCCGGAAACATCTCAAACCCAATGTGATCTCTCACAGCAAAGACACCCATACCAGTCAGGCCTGAAACAGTGATATGTAGCATGTGTCTCACAGCCGGAAACATCTCAAAACCAATGTGATCTCTCACAGCAATGACACCCATACAAGTCAGGCCTGAAACAGTGATATGTAGCATGTGTCTCACAGCCGGAAACATCTCAAAACCAATGTGATCTCTCACAGCAAAGACACCCATACCAGTCAGGCCTGAAACAGTGATATGTAGCATGTGTCTCACAGCCGGAAACATCTCAAAACCAATGTGATCTCTCACAGCAAAGACACCCATACCAGTCAGGCCTGAAACAGTGATATGTAGCATGTGTCTCACAGCCGGAAACATCTCAAAACCAATGTGATCTCTCACAGCAAAGACACCCATACCAGTCAGGCCTGAAACAGTGATATGTAGCATATGTCTCAAACATCTTAAAACCAATGTGATCTCTCACAGCAAAGACACCCATACCAGTCAGGCCTGAAACAGTGATATGTAGCATGTGTCTCACAGCCGGAAACATCTCAAACCCAATGTGATCTCTCACAGCAATGACACCCATACAAGTCAGGCCTGAAACAGTGATATGTAGCATGTGTCTCACAGCCGGAAACATCTCAAACCCAATGTGATCTCTCACAGCAATGACACCCATACAAGTCAGGCCTGAAACAGTGATATGTAGCATGTGTCTCACAGCCGGAAACATCTCAAACCCAATGTGATCTCTCACAGCAAAGACACCCATACAAGTCAGGCCTGAAACAGTGATATGTAGCATGTGTCTCACAGCCGGAAACATCTCAAAACCAATGTGATCTCTCACAGCAAAGACACCCATACCAGTCAGGCCTGAAACAGTGATATGTAGCATGTGTCTCACAGCCGGAAACATCTCAAAACCAATGTGATCTCTCACAGCAAAGACACCCATACCAGTCAGGCCTGAAACAGTGATATGTAGCATGTGTCTCACAGCCGGAAACATCTCAAAACCAATGTGATCTCTCACAGCAAAGACACCCATACCAGTCAGGCCTGAAACAGTGATATGTAGCATGTGTCTCACAGCCGGAAACATCTCAAAACCAATGTGATCTCTCACAGCAAAGACACCCATACCAGTCAGGCCTGAAACAGTGATATGTAGCATATGTCTCAAACATCTTAAAACCAATGTGATCTCTCACAGCAAAGACACCCATACCAGTCAGGCCTGAAACAGTGATATGTAGCATGTGTCTCACAGCCGGAAACATCTCAAACCCAATGTGATCTCTCACAGCAATGACACCCATACAAGTCAGGCCTGAAACAGTGATATGTAGCATGTGTCTCACAGCCGGAAACATCTCAAACCCAATGTGATCTCTCACAGCAATGACACCCATACAAGTCAGGCCTGAAACAGTGATATGTAGCATGTGTCTCACAGCCGGAAACATCTCAAACCCAATGTGATCTCTCACAGCAAAGACACCCATACCAGTCAGGCCTGAAACAGTGATATGTAGCATGTGTCTCACAGCCGGAAACATCTCAAAACCAATGTGATCTCTCACAGCAAAGACACCCATACAAGTCAGGCCTGAAACAGTGATATGTAGCATGTGTCTCACAGCCGGAAACATCTCAAAACCAATGTGATCTCTCACAGCAAAGACACCCATACCAGTCAGGCCTGAAACAGTGATATGTAGCATGTGTCTCACAGCCGGAAACATCTCAAACCCAATGTGATCTCTCACAGCAATGACACCCATACAAGTCGGGCCTGGTCTACAACATTGCATAAAAACAATGATGAAAATACAATGGAGGATAAAATGGAGGTATTGAGGACTGACTCAGTAGTCCATCCAACCCCCTATTCCCTATTCCTTGTAACCTTTGTGTGAATGTAAACTATTCCTGATACTTCATTCTCAATACTTCATTCTCCAGTGCATCATATCATTCCATTATGATATATTTGACAAATATCATCCAGTGATGAAGAAAGCATTTTCCAGAGGCAAGGGAGTTAACTGACTGCAAAGTCCAATTTCCACCCCTGTCAATCTAGGCTGGAATTTCTGGGCTTGATCGTAGCACCACCAGTAGCTATTAGGAATTATGTCCCTTCTATGTCCCTCCTATTTACCAATCAGATTCCACCTCTCATATCACTTGCATTTGCATCAAATAAAAATGGCAGCGCCCTGTCAAGACGAGTTGATCAATAATGGGTCTTACTTCACAAAGTGCATCAAATCATGTGAGCACCTTGATTAAAAACATGAAAAGGTTTGAAAAATATCTGTTGACGCTAAGTTGATGGTACACATGCTTCGCAAATCTCGCAATTGACCGAAATCTGAACGCAGTTTACGAACCAGATGTTGATTTCTTTACACAATTTTAATTGGACAAAACACAGAATCATTAGTCCAGCCAAAATATAACTCCATAATTCCATCCTAGTTCGGCAAGGGTGGAAACCGAACTTTTATACTCAGTTAACTCCCTTGCCTCGAGAACAAGTGAAGCAAGTTCTGCTTGATAAGTCTTCCTACCCCACTTTAGTGAGCGCCACCATGCCCTCAACCTTGAGGCTGCCGTGCAGCAGCACCGTAAACGACGGCGTCTTCCCATCATCCAACTCCTCCTCTTCCTCTGCCGCTGGTTTGCCGTTCTTCCCTTCCTTGCTGCCATTTTCTGAAAGGATGGAACATGCATGTGCAGATGGCAGCAATAAATCCGACCTAGTCTCTACTTAGTTTTGACCGGACTAAGCTGTATACTCATCAGGTAACCAACACTGCAGTTGTTTGTTAACGCAGCACTCAGCAATATTCCAGCTATAAGATGGCGGCCAGTCAATAACGAAGTCTGGACATGATAATTTAGTGACTGATATTATGAGCAAGGATACATGCCTCGGGGTTTGATGACCAACCAAGTCACTGAGTCTGTGCTTGTAGGGCTGGGACGAGTCAAAATTTACTACCCGGGTACCCACCCCCCTATTACCCGACCCTACCCGGGTACCCACTGTTGGTCTCAGGAGATGTCTCAAAATGTCCGATTGGGAACATTATTAGCATAGCCCTGGCAAAACATATTTAGATACATGTATTAAACAATCTGGTCATTCATACACTGAAGTTGAATTAAGTTATATGTGTATTCAACCATATGAAAAATCAGAAGGAATGGGTGTACAGTCAGAAAGAAATGCGAACATTAGTGACTTGTAGTGTAACCATAGAGTTCTAGATAATTTTTGTCATAAAACAATATATCACGTGACTAACCACGGGTCCGGGTCCTACTCAGTACCCACCCGACCCGGGTACCCAAGTTACCCATCCCAGCCCTAACTACTTGATCTATTAAGTCTAATCCTGAATCACCACAGAGGTGAGGTGAAATGGGGTTTGACATCGCGTCCAAGATTATTGCACTTATATAGCAATATGCATGCACATGTATGTATGGCTGCTTGTACTAGTCCAGACTAATGCCAGTTTTATAGTGCTAGCCCACCATGTGGCTGTTTAACATGAATACCCCACTCAGACACAATATACTGACTCCGAGCTGACCAGTCCTTGTTTTAAATATCGGTCTCTGAGCAGGTCCCTGATTATATCTTTACTGCTGTACGGGTATAAAGAGCAAAGAGACAGCAACTCACGGTAATTCTTCCTTTCAAGGAATGCATCATTAATATTAAGAGTTTTAGAAGTTCTTCTGAAAGTCAATGTATGTCTGCAGAATAATAACTGATAACTATTGAAATACCATGCGTCTTCTGCATCAGACAAACCACCATATTATCATGGTGAGCAGCTCATGAGAACAATTTTCCTATGTAACATTTATTTTATATGTTTCAACTACCTAAGGGACTGGTTATTTAATATAAGGGGGATGACAGGGGCTAGATTGGTCTCATATTTTGCTGACATCCCACCCACAACCCCCGGTAACATTTGTTCATCCCCTACCCCCTTTCTTTCTCACCCACCATCACCACTAACACATAATAAGAAAGTTAAAAGCACTTTCCAGGACATATGACAAGGATTGAGTTAATTATTAAGAACCTATCATCAGTTATTGGAAATTGCTTTGAGTTTTCATGAAGTTTTTTCGATTTGATAAAAAACTTTGAACCATGTTTCATAATTTGACCTCTAGTGACTTACACAGAGGCCACCAAAAAGTTGATACAATCACGGCCCACACCTTAGAGATAATATTTACTAAGTTTCCTCAAATTTTATTTAGAAATACTAAAATTAACGTGTAGGTTTTTTTTATGTGACCTTGACCTTCACTGTCATCCAGTGATATGCCAGATAATTCCAGTGGGGTCTAAGATATGGGTTTCATTTTATTGTCATTGACAAAGTACGTATTGGGAACAGTTGATTAATAACAGAACACCTACCATCAGCTGGCTTGCCCCGGTCTTTAGAGATGGTAGGGAGGACAAGATGGCGTGAGATGGTGGGGGGACTGGCAACATCGGCGATGTCCAGAAACCCGCACACCTCCAGGTTGTTGTTCAGCACGATCTGCTCATCTTCTCCTGCTGCATTCTTCCTGTATTCAATAACAAAACTAAAGCATCAAGAATCAATATGCCGCACAATAGGCCTATTTGTTGTACAGCAAAATACTCCATCAAAAACTGAAAACTTGGAGATTGTAATCATACTAATTTAAAACACAATATTTCAATACAAAGTAGTTTTTACCAATGCATCTATTCAAAAGAGCAAGCTGGGGATACTGTTCTGCCCCGAAATCCCTCCAGGACACCTTTTACCTCGAGAGAGGTTCCGGAGAGGGCCCCCAAATCCCTACAGGACACCTTTTACCTGGAGATACGTTCTAGAGAGGGCCCCCAAATCCCTACAGGACACCTTTTACCTGGGGAGAGGTTCTGGAGAGGGCCCTCAAATCCCTACAGGACACCTTTACCTGGAGATACGTTCTGGAGAGGGCCCCCAAATCCCTACAGGACACCTTTTACCTGGAGATACTTTCTGGAGAGGGCCCCCAAATCCCTACAGGACACCTTTACCTGGAGATACGTTCTGGAGAGGGCCCCAAAATCCCTACAGGACACCTTTTAACTGGAGATACGTTCTGGAGAGGGCCCTCAAATCCCTACAGGACACCTTTACCTGGAGATACGTTCTGGAGAGGGCCCCCAAATCCCTACAGGACACCTTTACCTGGAGATACGTTCTGGAGAGGGCCCCCAAATCCCTACAGGACACCTTTTACCTGGAGATACTTTCTGGAGAGGCCCCCAAATCCCTACAGGACACCTTTACCTGGAGAGAGGTTCTGGAGAGGGCCCTCAAATCCCTACAGGACACCTTTACCTGGAGATACGTTCTGGAGAGGGCCCCCAAATCCCTACAGGACACCTTTTACCTGGAGATACGTTCTGGAGAGGCCCCCAAATCCCTACAGGACACCTTTTACCTGGAGATACGTTCTAGAGAGGGCCCCCAATCCCTACTGAACATCTTTACCTAGAGAGGTTCCGGAGAGGGCCCCCAATCCCTACTCAACACCTTTACCTGGAGATACGTTCCGGAGAGGGCCCCCAATCCCTACTGAACATCTTTACCTAGAGAGGTTCCGGAGAGGGCCCCCAATCCCTACTCAACACCTTTACCTGGAGAGAGGTTCTGGAGAGGGCCCCCAATCCCTACTCAACACCTTTACCTGGAGAGAGGTTCCGGAGAGGGCCCCCAATCCCTACTCAACACCTTTACCTGGAGAGAGGTTCCGGAGAGGGTCCCCAATCCCTACTCAACACCTTTACCTGGAGAGAGGTTCCGGAGAGGGCAGCAACTGAACGCTGCACTTGAGATTGCCACACTGAATTGTTCCAAAGTAGGGAGCATAGAATGTCTCCCCTAATTTCTGAAACATCTGCTCCACTGATTTCATTGTCATGTTGGATTCTGGAATGAAGATTTCTCCACCTTCGTTGTTCATGTCGATCAGTTTCTGATACAAGGGCAGAGAACTCTGCAAGTCGGGGTCATTTGGGTTAGCTACACAAACAACGTGAAGTTTACACGGAAATGGAAACGGCAGAGGGAACTTGTCGTCAGCTGTCTTGGACTGCAAGGATTCCTTCAGTGAGCCTTGGCCGATACCACAGTTGCCATCTGTTATTAATATGATCTGAAACAGTGGAAATGAAACATTTTATATCTGAACAACAGTATCTTTACTTGTTTTCCCTACAAACCACACTAGTTCTACCGCCTTGGTGCATAGTGCTATATCATTACTATTGTCTGTCAACGTGTTCAGAACTATGTTCCTACTACAGTCTAATATGGCATAATTTGTCATTCACTACTATTTTCCTAACTGACATAATGTGACAGTACTATTTTCTACTACATTGTCACATGGTGTGACAATACTATTGTCCTGCTACTACCTGACATTGTGTACAGTACTATTGTCCTGTTACTACCTGATATGGTGTGACAATACTATTGTCCTGCTACTACCTGACATTGTGTATAGTACTATTGTCCTGCTACCTGACATGGTGTACAGTACTATTGTCCTGTTACTACCTGACATGGTGAACAGTACTATTGTCCTGTTACTACCTGACATGGTGTGACAATACCATTGTCCTGTTACTACCTGACATGGTGTACAGTACTATTGTCCTGTTACTACCTGATATGGTGTGACAATACTATTGTCCTGTTACTACCTGACATGGTGTACAGTACTATTGTCCTGCTACTACCTGACATGATGAACAGTACTATTGTCCTGTTACTACCTGACATGGTGTGACAATACTATTGTCCTGTTACTACCTGACATGGTGTACAGTACTATTGTCCTGTTACTACCTGACATGGTGAACATTACTATTGTCCTGCTACTACCTGACATGGTGAACAGTACTATTGTCCTGTTACTACCTGACATGGTGTGACAATACTATTGTCCTGTTACTACCTGACATGGTGTACAGTACTTTTGTCCTGTTACTACCTGACATGGTGTGACAATACTATTGTCCTGTTACTACCTGACATGGTGTACAGTACTATTGTCCTGTTACTACCTGATATGGTGAACAGTACTATTGTCCTGTTACTACCTGACATGGTGTACAGTACTATTGTCCTGCCACTACCTGACATGGTGTGACAATACTATTGTCCTGTTACTACCTGACATGGTGTACAGTACTATTGTCCTGTTACTACCTGATATGGTGTGACAATACTATTGTCCTGTTACTACCTGACATGGTGTACAGTACTATTGTCCTGCCACTACCTGACATGGTGAACAGTACTATTGTCCTGTTACTACCTGACATGGAATACAGTACTATTGTCCTGCCACTACCTGACATGGTGTACAGTACTACTGTCCTGTTACTACCTGACATGGTGAACAGTACTATTGTCCTGCTACTACCTGACATGGTGTACAGTACTATTGTCCTGTTACTACCTGATATGGTGAACAGTACTATTGTCCTGTTACTACCTGACATGGTGTACAGTACTATTGTCCTGCCACTACCTGACATTGTGTACAGTACTATTGTCCTGTTACTACCTGACATGGTGTGACAATACTATTGTCCTGTTACTACCTGACATGGTGTACAGTACTATTGTCCTGTTACTACCTGATATGGTGTGACAATACTATTGTCCTGTTACCACCTGACATTGTGTACAGTAATATTGTCCTGCTACTACCTGACATGGTGTACAGTACTATTCTCCTGCTACTTCCTGACATGGTGGTCAGTACTACTGTCCTACTAACCTGACATGGTGTGACAGTACTCCATTCCTCCACTATCAGAGACTTGATACCATTCAACACTGTCTCAATACACGTCTTGTTGAATATTTCTATTTTGTTAAGTGCTGATTTGATGGAGTCAAAGTCCCTTGTGAAAGTCACCAGTTGTTCCCATAGATACGAAAACACCACCTGCATGACACAAACAATTCATCATATATCTACAAATTAAACCATGATGATGACGTCACGCTATTGTTGTTGCATTTGATTCTGAGGCAGGAATTCACTGGCCGTTCTGAACATGCATTTTAACAAGTAAAACTGACGCAACTACGGGTCATTATACAAAAAATTATAGAGAAATTATACATATCAACCATAATAACATGGTTAAGTAAGAGACATCACTCGAATCTGTTCACTTCAGAAGTAAGATCGGGCTCGTTGATTCTGATTCTGGAATCAACAGATTGGAGTGAATTCTCCATTATACACTTGGGTAAAAATACTGTAGAGGATGCTAAAGCTAAAATTAAATGAAGTTATTAAAACTAGATAAACAAGGTTCTGTGAAGGTCAAAGGCAACAGCAGAGTGAAATACATAAATCGCCAAAAAATGTATGATATGTTATACTGCATATCATATACTTACATACTAGTGATGGGACGATAGACCGATGCATCGGTGGGTCGCGATTTTTTACTTCTCGATACAAGTATCGTTCACAGTCACACACTAAGCAAAAAGGATTAATTCTTACCTTAAATGTTTTCTCAAATAAGTGTTACACCAAATACTGATTGCTAGTGAAAATGAGTTGTGAAAACATAAATATTTTCATCCATTGTGCCATACCTGACACTGCCAACTGTTAATCGTCAGTGTGCCAGGTATTTGGCAATCCTGTCTATGAAGAAGATGGCTTACACACCACAGATAAGTGCACATGCAAGTATCGCAATACGTATCAGATCGAGAGCAAGGTATCTTGATACGTATCGGATCGTACAGTTGGTGTATCGTCCAAGCCCTATAACACACTGTACATCAAATTTCACATTCAGAAATGGCTTAGTATGATGTGGTAAGACAGCACTACACCAGATTTCTGGAATATTAATTGAGATCCTACAGATCCTACAGATCCTACAAGTTAGGGGCAAAGAAGCTAAAGAAATAACAAAGTACTTCCTGCACAGCAGACATCCTCACAGCATGTTCGTTAAAATTAGACATTAATTACACAGCAGTACATGACATTTTGTCAGCTATCACAATACACAGCACAATATATAGAGGATATTTCATGTGTCGTGTACGCCACTCATGAACCTCGATGAGAGAAACATATTATTTCACGAGACACATAGAATATCCTATTTACATGTATTATATACTTTTTGTGAAGTTGTCTACCGGGAAATTTAATTATTTCATAAAAAATGTATTTCTTTCTACCTAACACACTGGGACAGGTCACTAGCCCTTGTGGTTGCGACTTAAAATGTAGTTGTGTGTTTGCAAAATCTTAAATACATAAACAAAAGTATCAAAAAATATTTAGGGTTACAAAAAATTCTTATACATTTCGATTTGATTATATAAAAAATCCACTTTAACAAAAAAATATTCTTGAAAAAAGGGGGACCGCCGTTGGAAGTGAAAGAATACACGCTGGTCAAGAAACAAAAATGCTGCTTTGCAAAACAATTGACGAGTTAAATGAGAAATTTACAGTTTATAACGAAACATTTTTAAGAGATTTACAAATGGTAGGAAGAGATATTTACTCTATAAATGTTCATCTTTCATTATTTTGCCTTGTCAATGTGAGAACTAACGTAAAAAAAGACGTCAACAGTTTGTGTACGGGCTTGACACTTACAATAAAGGGAGACAGTTTTAGGGGAGGTAGATCTTTTGTGACAATAGTTCCGTCACAGTGCTATGTTCACTGCAGCGAAATATGAAGTGTTATGTTCACTGCAATAAAATATCAAGTGTTATGTTCACTGCAATAAAATATCAAGTGTTATGTTCACTGCAATAAAATATCAAGTGTTATGTTCACTGCAATAAAATATCAAGTGTTATGTTCACTGCAGCGAAATATCAAGTGTTATGTTCACTGCAATAAAATATCAAGTGTTATGTTCACTGCAATAAAATATGAAGTGTTGTGTTCACTGCAATAAAATATCAAGTGTTATGTTCACTGCAGCGAAATATCAAGTGTTATGTTCACTGCAATAAAATATCAAGTGTTATGTTCACTGCAATAAAATATCAAGTGTTATGTTCACTGCAGCGAAATATCAAGTGTTATGTTCACTGCAGCGAAATATCAGGTGTTATGTTCACTACAGTGAAATATCAAGTGTTATGTTCACTGCAGCGAAATATCAAGTGTTATGTTCACTGCAATAAAATATCAAGTGTTATGTTCACTGCAATAAAATATCAAGTGTTATGTTCACTGCAGCGAAATATCAAGTGTTATGTTCACTGCAGCGAAATATCAAGTGTTATGTTCACTGCAATAAAATATCAAGTGTTATGTTCACTGCAATAAAATATCAAGTGTTATGTTCACTGCAATAAAATATCAAGTGTTATGTTCACTGCAGCGAAATATCAAGTGTTATGTTCACTGCAATAAAATATCAAGTGTTATGTTCACTGCAGCGAAATATCAAGTGTTATGTTCACTGCAATAAAATATCAAGTGTTATGTTCACTGCAATAAAATATCAAGTGTTATGTTCACTGCAGCGAAATATCAAGTGTTATGTTCACTGCAATAAAATATCAAGTGTTATGTTCACTGCAATAAAATATCAAGTGTTGTGTTCACTGCAATAAAATATCAAGTGTTATGTTCACTGCAATAAAATATCAAGTGTTATGTAAAATATCAAGTGTTATGTTCACTGCAATAAAATATCAAGTGTTATGTTCACTGCAGTGAAATATCAAGTGTTATGTTCACTGCAATAAAATATCAAGTGTTATGTTCACTGCAATAAAATATCAAGTGTTATGTTCACTGCAGCGAAATATCAAGTGTTATGTTCACTGCAATAAAATATCAAGTGTTATGTTCACTGCAGCGAAATATCAAGTGTTATGTTCACTGCAATAAAATATCAAGTGTTATGTTCACTGCAATAAAATATCAAGTGTTATGTTCACTGCAGCGAAATATCAAGTGTTATGTTCACTGCAATAAAATATCAAGTGTTATGTTCACTGCAATAAAATATCAAGTGTTATGTTCACTGCAATAAAATATCAAGTGTTGTGTTCACTACAGTGAAATATCAAGTGTTGTGTTCACTGCAGTGAAATATCAAGTGTTGTGTTCACTGCAGTGAAATATCAAGTGTTGTGTTCACTGCAATAAAATATCAAGTGTTATGTTCACTGCAATAAAATATCAAGTGTTATGTTCACTGCAATAAAATATCAAGTGTTATGTTCACTGCAATAAAATATCAAGTGTTGTGTTCACTGCAATAAAATATCAAGTGTTATGTTCACTGCAATAAAATATCAAGTGTTATGTTCACTGCAGTGAAATATCAAGTGTTGTGTTCACTGCAGTGAAATATCAAGTGTTGTGTTTACTACAGTGAAATATCAAGTGTTATGTTCACTACAGTGAAATATCAAGTGTTGTGTTCACTGCAATAAAATATCAAGTGTTGTGTTCACTGCAGTGAAATATCAAGTGTTGTGTTCACTACAGTGAAATATCAAGTGTTGTGTTCACTACAGTGAAATATCAAGTGTTGTGTTCACTGTATTGAAAATATCACTTTTCTCAACTTCAGAAAACTCGATCATTCACATTGAAGTATATAATAAAATGTTATATTTTTAGGCACTTATTGTACTGCTAACCCTTGAAACCTACCAGAGATGTGAACTCCAACTTGCAGCTGACAGCCATGTAGTCCAGGAGATGGTTGATGCCGTGCACTGCTAGATGGCGCCGCTGAAACTCGCCCTGACTGTCGGGGGTGAAGACCGGCCGGCTCATGGACAGCGACACGTCCAGCGCCAACACAGTCGGCATCTTGACCTACTACAAACAGACATTCTTTATTGATCATGTAGGTCAAGCCTCAGTTCACAAGGCCATCAGCTAAGTCTATGTTAACATGGGAATTACAATCACTTGTCAAACAAGCCAAGTATCTTTGGCTCATTAGACATCCAGCAACTGGACGATGTGATTTGTCCATTTTGTTTGTTTGTTTCTTTTTTACGCCGCACTCAGCAATATTCCAGCTATATGACGACGGTCTGAAATGTCTGGATCAGACTTTCCAGTGATTGACAACATGAGCATTATTCCTTGCAACTGGGATACGATGACATGCATCAACCAAGTCAGCGAGCCTGACCACCCGATCCCGTTAGCCGCCTCTTACGAGAAGCATAGTGGCCTTTTACGGCAAGCATGGGTTGCTGAAGACCTATTCTACCCCGGATCTTCACGAGTCTGGACGATGTGAAACCATTTTTTGAGAAACCCTTCTTTCATGAAATATAGAGAAGGTAAATTATCGGAATTCAACATTCAGAAGCAACAGTTTACCATTAGAACTATTTATGTACCAAGTTGGTAGAAGAGATATTGTAAAGTTTTCAAGATCTGCTCCAGAAGGAAATCTTGCACAGATGGATGCACAGACACACAGACATACGGATGCCGTCCATTTCAATTCCCCCCCCCCACAAAATCAGATAAAAGATTTTACTGGCATGTCTGTACCTCATTCCTGCACTTGGCAATGAAGAAAACTTCAGAAGTCCAGCAGGAAAACAAAATTACAACTTTGAATTATTTTTTTTCCGTTTCAGTTTTTTTCTTATTTCCACCAAATTAATATACTTTCAAAGGGATCATTCTCTGAAAAGCATCTTTCTAAAACTGTATTTTTAATTTCATTATGACCCAATACTGGTTTTGGAAATAAACATGCATATAAACCAAACAAAACCATGACTTCTGGTGAAAGATAAATGGGGCATCACTGAAGCTACTGCAATAGCATAGTGACATTATGGTGGAAATATTCACCTTCCCTCAAAGCAGATGTTCTTGTATTAGACAATATGAGTACGAAGGACCTCTTCTGTTCCAGAATACCCAGTCTACAGGGAGACCCGCAAGAGGTACTAAGGACCGCTTCTGTTCCAGAATACCCAGTCTACAGGGAGACCCGCAAGAGGTACTAAGGACCTCTTCTGTTCCAGAATACCCAGTCTACAGGGAGACCAGCATGAGGTACTAAGGACCTCTTCTGTTACGGAATACCCAGTCTACAGGGAGACCCGCATGAGGTACTAAGGACCTCTTCTGTTCCAGAATACCCAGTCTACAGGGAGACCCGCATGAGGTACTAAGGACCTCTTCTGTTACGGAATACCCAGTCTACAGGGAGACCAGCATGAGGTACTAAGGGCCTCTTCTGTTCCAGAATACCCAGTCTACAGGGAGACCCGCAAGAGGTACTAAGGACCTCTTCTGTTCCAGAATACCCAGTCTACAGGGAGACCCGCAAGAGGTACTAAGGACCTCTTCTGTTCCAGAATACCCAGTCTACAGGGAGACCTGCATGAGGTACTAAGGACCTCTTCTGTTCCAGAATACCCAGTCTACAGGGAGACCCGCATGAGGTACTAAGGACCTCTTCTGTTCCAGAATACCCAGTCTACAGGGAGACCCGCAAGAGGTACTAAGGACCTTTTCTGTTCCAGAATACCCAGTCTACAGGGAGACCAGCATGAGGTACTAAGGACCTCTTCTGTTCCGGAATACCCGGTCTACAGGGAGACCCGCATGAGGTACTAAGGACCTCTTCTGTTCCGGAATACCCAGTCTACAGGGAGACCAGCATGCGGTACTAAGGACCTCTTCTGTTCCGGAATACCCAGTCTACAGAAAAGACCAGCATGAGGTACTAAGGACCTCTTCTGTTCCGGAATACCCAGTCTACAGAGGAGACCCGCATGAGGTACTAAGGACCTCTTCTGTTACGGAATACCCAGTCTACAGAGAAGACCAGCATGAGGTACTAAGGACCTCTTCTGTTACGGAATACCCAGTCTACAGAGAAGACCCGCATGAGGTACTAAGGACCTCTTCTGTTACGGAATACCCAGTCTACAGAGAAGAACAGCATGAGGTACTAAGGACCTCTTCTGTTACGGAATACCCAGTCTACAGAGAAGACCAGCATGAGGTACTAAGGACCTCTTCTGTTCCAGAATACCCAGTCTACAGGGAGACTCGCATGAGGTACTAAGGACCTCTTCTGTTCCGGAATACCCGGTCTACATGGAGACCTGCATGAGGTACTAAGGGCCTCTTCTGTTACGGAATACCCGGTCTACAGGGAGACCCGCATGAGGTACTAAGGACCTCTTCAGTCCTACAGGACACTCAAGTAACATGGTAACCAGAGTAAAAACGCAACATAAAAAAAGAATCGCCAAAACGCACCATTTCAATGAATATGTGGGTATCATGCACCCATTTATCACGAAATCGAAAATGCATGAACTGTCACGAACTGTAGTGGGTATGAAACTGTGACCGATTCTTGGACCTACCACTCCTTGGTCAACAATGCCACGCCTAACTCAAATTCAGAGAAACAAGGCATATCGGACGATTTGAAGCAGGAGAGTCTGTCCAAGATGTTGCCCGTCATTTCAACGTTAACATAACCACAATTTACCATCTCCTGCATCGATCACAGATGACCTTCCTCGGAGCGATCGTCCTAGGGTCACCACACCTCGACAAGATCGGCAGATTACCTGTCAACACCAGCGACATCCATTCCTAACTGCAAGTGAAAGTGCTCGACAGACCATAGGAACACATAATCGACACATTGGCCGGGACACTGTGATCTGACGTCTCCGTTCCAACAACCTCAGATGTCGCCGACCAGCACGTCGTCCTGTTCTCCAACCACGGCATCGACAAGCACGACTTCAGTGGGCACAGGGTCATCGCAGTTGGCGTCATCGTGAGTGGAGGCGTGTCATCTTCTCTGATGAAAGTCGCTTTTGTGTCTCCCATGCAGACAGAAGAGTCAGAATTTGGCGGTGTCGAGGTGATCGTTTCGCTGACAGAAATGTTGTGGAAAGGGATCCATGGGGTGGACCTAGCTTCATGATATGGGAAGGGGATTGGACTTAATGCGAGACTTGGACCCATGTGCTTTCTGAATGTTGGTCAAGGTCGGGGACACGGCGTCACTGCTCAGCGGTATATCGACCAAGTGATCAGACCCCATGTTGTTCCATTTTTTGCACAACATCAACAACACATTTTCCAGCAGGACAACGCTCGTCCCCATGTTGCCTGAGCTACCATGACCTTTCTGCAACAACACAACATCCGTGTTCTACCGTGGCCAGCCCTCAGCCCTGATCTGAACCCCATCCAACACTTGTGGGATGAGGTTCAAAGGTGTCTGCACAATGTGCGCCCAGTCCCTACAACTGCCGATGAACTATGCACAGCTGCTCTGGATGTGTGCAGGAGGATTCCTAGGGCCTTCACAAATTGTCTGATCCACTCAATGTACAGGAGATGTGTGGCGGTGATCAGTGGCGGTGATCAATGCTAATGGTGGTCACACCTGGTATTGACTGACATTTTGGGTATTGACCCGAAACTGTGTAAGCCCTTAACATTTGAAAAAAACACATTATGTCATCTGCCTTTTAATCCATTAAACTGTCTTTGATCAAATTTTTGTCAATCTTGCCCGATTAGTATTTCTTGTCTTTACTGTTGAAAATAAATAACATGTATACTGCATACTCGACTTGCGTTTCTTTTGCCTGTGAGTATATATTTGGCATAATCATTTCTTCAACTTACCAAATTCAAACACAATATCTCAATCTCTCAGATTTAATAGGACTAAATTGAATAACAATTGAACAAACTGATATAATCAATCATACTTTGACATGTCTGTTACAAGCTATATCCTGACATCAACCAGATTATCATTGAGACAAAGTAAAGTGGCCAAATCAAGGCTCCAGCTCCAAGTGTAATATCTGCTCAAATGTCATTACAGTCAAACACAGTCTTTCAATCAGTACAAAATACAGATAAAACTCAGACTAGATTAGAATTAACTTTGTTTCAGGGAAATATTACGTAAAGGAGTAACCTCCAATGCATGATGATGTCTGAAATGAGATAACTGAAATACTTCTCGTTCACTTGTTATCATGGCTGATCAGTTGATCAAATGCACAGAAGGGATTTAAAATTGTTGTCCTTCCAAAACAGACACAGCGATTGTGCAAGTGGGAGTGATAATAATGTTTTGAAGATATCCAAACACAAGGTTGATTAGTGGTAGCATGTTAGTTGGTGTGCAATGCTTTTTGTTATTTGACATTTCTGTGACTTGTGTTCATCAGAATACGCACTTGCCATGAAATAATCCTGTGGGGATCTGCAGTACCCTCACTGCTAGTCTCTCCCATGGAGATTCCAGGGCAGAACAAGTCCGTAGTACCCTCACTGCTTGTCTGTCCCATGGAGATTCAAGGGCAGAACAGGTCCGTAGTACTTTCACTGCTTGTCTGTCCCATGGAGATACCAGGGCAGAACAGGTCCGTAGTACTTTCACTGCTTGTCCCTCCCATGGAGATTCCAGGGCAGAACAGGTCCGTAGTACCCTCACTGCTTGTCCCTCCCATGGAGATTCCAGGGCAGAACAGGTCCGTAGTACCCTCACTGCTTGTCCCTCCCATGGAGATTCCAGGGCAGAACAGGTCCGTAGTACCCTCACTGCTTGTCCCTCCCATGGAGATTCCAGGGCAGAACAGGTCCGTAGTACCTTCACTGCTTGTCCCTCCCATGGAGATTCCAGGGCAGAACAGGTCCGTAGTACCCTGTGTCTCTCTCGCGGGTATTCAAGGGCAGGACAGGTCCCCAGCAGCCTGTGTCTCTCTCGCGGGTATTCAAGGGCAGGACAGGTCCCCAGCATCCTGTGTCTCTCCCGTGGGTATTCAAGGGCAGGACAGGTCCCCAGC